GCTGGGCACACGCCAGGAGCCCTTTCAGGGAATGGCAATGGCAAAGTGTCACCCATTTCCTTTGGGATTGCACAAGGACAGCATTTACACAGCAAAGACTGAGCCTGACTCAAATGAAAAGGCTGCTCAGAAGTCAGTACTTGTTGGAATGGCCCTTTTCTGATGTCCCAGCATCAAAACCCCAAATTCTTCCCTGGAGCACACAAGAGCAGGAGTCACAAAATCCTGGGACATCCCAACACTGCTGTAACTGAGTGTGCAGAGCAGGGCACTGAGAATTCAGCAATAAACTTGGCTTTACTGGTCTCACCTGCATTCTGAAATGCAGCCATGTGATTAACAAAAAATATATGAAAAAAACTTGATTTTCACTCTTAAAAGTGTTTGCATTACCTCCCAAACCAAAGTCTCTTCTCTGTGACCAATTTAAGAGATGTTGGTCCTGTGATTCCAGTGGGGAGTGGATTTTAACCCTGCAGTAAACAAACAGAGAGGAGCAGCTCACACTTACACACACCCCTCCCTCTCTATCACCAACATCCATCAGGAACTGTGGGTACCTTTGATCAGAGCCTCAGATATTGTTCTAACTTTACACAATAATAAAAAGGAGAGGAAGGAAAAGATCAGCCCTGGAAATGAGAGAGCAGCCCTGGATAATGGGGCAGCCCTGGTTTAATGAATCACAGGAAAAACTACAGAGTTGGGGTTTTTTTAGGAACAGACAATCTTCTGTTTTTCTGAAGCAYTTATAAAAATGACTCAATGAAACCTCAATACAAGCGAGGAGAGTATTTCTAAGTGACTCAAGCATTAATAAGTCTGTAAATATGAACTGGGATCTCCATCCAGCTGGCCTAAGTGCTCTGAGAGCTGAGCTTAATCCCAGCTCATCTCAGTGCTGGCCATTCTACACAGAAACATGGGACAGACCCTTCAGAAGGGCTTCAACTGTGCAAACACACCTTGCATTTACTGCTGGGCAAGTTCTTCTCAATAAAAGCTCCAAAAACTGGGATTACAGTGTGTCCACCTCAGTTTTTGCAATTCTGAAGGTGCAACAAAAGCCCTGTTTGCCTCTGCTCCTCATAGCACCGGGCTCTGAACTCTGTTGAATTTAGTGGGGTGGATAATTTCCTGTTTGGGAAAGAACAACAAGTTCTTCCTTTCTACTTTGAGCAATTAAGTGTTTTCCTGAACTAGCATGACAAACAGATGAGACTATCATAACATTAAGAACTTTTCTCAAGTCCAGCTATTCTTCTTCAGTAACCAGCAGAGCATAAACATTTAATTAAAGCTGTCTAGACTAGAAAAAGTCTGAACCAGGTCAGCCTACACCGACCACATCAAGTTTGCAAAAAATAACGTGGTGCTTTGGCATTTGGGCCACTGTGTMCTTGGAAATGCAAATGGGGATTTTCCAGCCTGTGACACCTCTGCTGCACAGCAGCCACCTGGGCCACCTAAATCATCGAGGCAGCTCTTGGAAAGTYAATCCCAGTGCCATCATCTCCAGAGGTTATTTTATTCACAGAGAGTGAATTCTGCCATGGCTTCTGCTCCTCCCAGCTCAACCTCTCTGGCACTGGAGGTCACCTATAAACATCTCCAACACTTCTGATTTTGTCCTGTCTGAACTGGACTCTACTTTAAATACAGTTGTTCAACTTTCAGAAGAAACGGAACTTGATGATGAAAGAGAAACTCTCAATTAGCAAGCTCAACGTGAAAAAAAATCCACCCAGATCTCAGATCCCAGCACAGGGAATCAAGCTTAAATAAAAAGGAAGTGAGGTTATTAAATGCTTTGTCAGCTTAGAAGTGGAAAATTCCATCTGAACACTGGAGATGACATACAGACCCCCAACATCAGCAACACTGCTCTGAAAGCAAATGCAATTCTGTGCAATCAGATCTAATTYAGTACCTCCACCTCTGGCATCTCAAACATGCACAACTGTCACACCAAAACWCTCCAATTCCACAAGAATTACATGGATTCTTCAGCAATTCACAACACTGTTAAACTGACTCTCCAAACAGGAAAAAAAAGGGAGCATTTAACTTGGGGTGCTTTTACAGGACAGAACTGTACAAGTGAACTGCTCTTAAAAACACAATTCCAGAAGATTGGAAGAATTGGCACCAGCAGCAAGGGTTCCATGTGAAACTGGCTGGCTTTGAGCTCATGTTTGGGTAATGGACCTCTGTTCCTCTGCTTGGGAAGAGTTAATTCTGATTTTATGGGCAGCAGCAATATCTGACCCAACTGAAAAGRTGTTTCCTGTGCAGGCAGGCAAAGCAAGGCTTCACTTTGGTAGGAAAAAGCTCCTGTTTCCTCTTGGGATTTCTAAGCTGTTTTGGGATGAATRTTTCCCATAAGCTATTTCTGTATTTTTTAAAATAAAAGATTTCCTTTTACTGAACCCTTGTTTATGTGGATATTCTCTCTCTCTTCAATAATCTTTACAACTTGTTTTACTGGAATATCAAAAAGGGAATTTCCAAGACTTATTTCAAGTATTTTTTAGACATCAAGTAGAGCATTTCTTTTCCCTGTAATTTCAGAGTTCAGGTTTTAACCCTCGGTACAAGACAAACACWGTTAATTAACTGCAGCTCCTGAGTTTGCACTTCTCCAGTAATAATTTGCACAGAAGTTCCTCCTTCATGTAGCAGAGCAGAAGAAGCTTTAAATARCTCCTCACTGCCTTGAACTTCCTTATTATCTTCCCTCCCCAGAGACAGAAATTGTGAATMAAGACAGGCTGAGGTCACTGAGACAGAGAAGGGAAATGGGGGTGGGGACCACTTGCTTTGCCCAAAAATAAATGTCAGAATGCTGGAGTGAGATTTGCACTGTTGCATTAGTTCCAGCTCTACAGCAAGGCCAGGCACAGAGCCACCAAGAAACTGCTCCAATGCAGCATCTGTTTTAATTGCCATCATTATATCAAGTGAACAGACCTGAGAAACAAGAGCTACCCACACCTGCCCATGTAGGACCTGCTAGCAGCTTTGAAAAATRGAAGAGGTTTCCTTAGGAAATGCCAAGCAGCACAAAATTGCAGCTTCTCCCCCTGGGAA